GTCAAATGATTCTGCAAAGGCTTGCCAGAGTGGATGCCACTGCCTGGCCAGGAGCTGGCATGCATGGGTGCAGCAGGGCCAGGTGGTTCTATGGAGGCCTGTCAGAGGTGACAAAACCACCACCCAATCCACTGTCAAGCAGGAAGCATGTGTGCACAGGTGCAGCAAGGCCTACAGCTCTGTGGAGGGCAGCTGGATTGTCTGTTAAGCTTGGAGTAGGCCTGCAAGGGTGGAGGGCCCAGTGGCTCTGTGGATGGCTGCCAGCTGGAGGTGGAGCCTCTGCCTGATCAGCTGTCGAGCAGGGAGCAGATGTGCACCAGTGCAGCAGGGCCTGAAAGCTCCACAGAGGTCTGCAAGTAGAGACAAAGCCATTGCTTGGTCCACTGTCAGGCGAGAGGTAGGTATGCACCAGTGTAGCAGGGCCCAGCAACTGCGTGGAGGGCCGCTGGATCAGCTGTTGAGCCTGGAACAAGGCAGCAAGAGTGCAGCCAGGCCCCAAAGCTCTATAGAGACCTGCTGTGGAGAGGCAAAGCTACTGCCTGATTGCTATTGGTCAGGGAGCAGGAGTACACTAGCATAGTGGGACCCAGCAGCTCCATGGAGGGCCACAGTGGGAGGTAGAGTTACTGCCAAACTGGCTCTTGGGCCAACATGGGCATATGTGGGCTCAGCAGCCCACAGGTTGTGCAGGGCAAGTGCACACAAATGTGGTTCAGATGCTGGGGTCTTGGATTTTTGTGTCTCCAGGCAGCAGGGGTTGTGGTCCTGCCAGTGCCCATGTGAGTATGGTAGAATGCAGGTGGGAACTCAAGATGGAGTCTGTTTTCAGTAGTCCTCCAGGCAGGACACACTCTAGTAGCAGGTTCAGTTTTAAGACGGCACTTTACTGTAACCACTTCAGTCGGGAGGCTGGGGATCCTCTCCCTGGTTTCCCATGAGGCCATGCAGATGCACAAACTCCCAGCTACTCTCCAAACTAGATTTGGGGCCTACAAGTACTGGGGACTCTCTTGTGGCAGGGATTTATGGTGTTTGTGGTGGCAGCTAAAAGAGCTGGATTTCCAGCTTACTTTCTCTTCACCTGACTCTGAGCCCATCCCTGCAGGAAGACAGTGAAGCAGAGGCAGGATGCCTTGCTCTGCCCTCTATGGAATTATCCAGTCTTCTGTGCTCCACAAGGATTTTTTTTAACTCCCCTGGTGTTCTGCAGCATATTCCTTCAGTCATTCCAGCCAAAATATAGTTGGTTTGTTGTTTGGTCTCCTTTGCGGGGGGGGGGCCGGGATGAGCATCAGATAACTCTAGTCAGCCATCATGCAACCCCCTCTCTCCTGGTTTTTTTCTTCAGCCAACTAAATAGTTCCCATTGGGTAAGATCTCCTTAACCCTCATAGCTTTTGTTCCTGTGAAACATTTTAAAACACAAATTTAAATAATTATTAGCCAATATCAAAACTTTTTTCTAGGAATCCTGCACTCGATTTCCACGTTAATTTACCGTAACATCTAAAATAGCTGAATCAGAGCTGACTCTCTTATGAAAGGTTACAAACAAAAAAAGCATTTTCTTCATAGCACATGGAGAACATGTTAAACCTACTATTAGAACTAGGAGGCTAAGACAATGAGGGAAAAACTTGTAATAATTCAATATATCTATTTTAGAATAGTTTTCATTGAAGAGTATAGCAGCAAAAAAAACAAATCCCATAATTTATAGTTTTAAAAATAGTAAATGTTTATAGATGAAATGTTGAAGGACACTATTGACCATATGAAATACTTTGTTGCATGGTTTTGTGCAAGTATTTTTGTATAATTTACGCATTCCATTTGCTGTTTCAATGTTTTCCAGAAGATTAAATTGGCAGTGAAAAGCCACTTCTCTCAGTTCCACATTTTTGTGGTTCCATGACACTGCAGTGCCTGATTTCATGTCCAGCTTGAGTTACATATAGCATTAGAAATCTTTTAAGACTCAATGGCAGAACATTTACAAATACATTATTTAATAGTGAATAACTTAATACAGAATGACTTACTTAAAAGGTAGGTAATTTTTATATAGTCAAAATAGTCAACAATATAATTCAGGTAAAAAACACTTTTTTAAAAGGTTGTTTATAGCTTTTAGCCTTGAGTCATAACTCAGAATAGCTAAGTATTGAACATAGTACAGGCCCTGTTAAACATCAGTGGAAACCTGATCTTTACTAAAAGAAAAATCCAAACTGCTGTTGTATTCTTATTTAGCAGTTACAAGACAATTTTCTCAACTTTGTTAAAAATGAGTTTTGAAGTGGAAGATAAAAAGCAAATGTGGAGAAATCACATTATATACTTTTCTATTAAATACTAATATTAAAATAAGTGACTTAATCCACACACGCAATATTCTCTTTAGTAGTGGACCCCAGGTTTTAAGTACTAGCTAGATTTACTGAATAATTTTTTCAAAATTATGAAAATGATATAGATGGCTGATACAAATGCTACTTATATATTAAGCTTGATCAGACCAGTGGAAGGTTAAATTCTCCATTTAAATAATATCAGTAACAATAAAAAGTAAATTAGATAACACAGGAAATCTAAATAATGATACACTAATAAAGCACCCATAGACTCTAATTAGATTTTCCGAGATGATTTTTAAAAGTACCTATAATATAGGAATGGCCGGTGTGCTCACTGGCTGAGCGCGGTATGGGCGACACCACACCAAGGGTTGCGATCCCCTTACCGGTCACGAAAAAGACAAAAAAATAAATAAATAAAATAAAAGTACCTATAATATATAAAATGCTTACTAATGCCACTGAAATATTATTCCATTATAATTAGGATTGTTAAGATAGAACTCTGATAATCTGCACAAAGACTGAATCTCCTCTCTAGCCAAACTAGCACCATTGTGTAAATGAGAAAAAAAATGCTCTTTCCTCAAGACTTTTTAATCTGGCAGAAATTTTACATACTGACTTTGATAGAACAAGGAACATTACTGACATCTGCTAAATACTGTCATAATATACAAACCTATGATATGAATGGGCATCTCCCCTCATCACATAATGCTGTTGCATAGTACACAAACTGCAAAAGCTGTACATGACAATCCTGCCCCAACTACTCTCAACAGTGGAGACTATTCCTCCCACCAAACTTGAAAAACTTGCCAATCTGAAATACTATAAGCTACCAGTCAGTTGAAGTTTTGATCACAAAGAGGTATTTCAATTTGAAGTTGTTTATATTCATAATACATAACATCAATGGAATAATAACAAGTATGTACAAGAGAAAGGTAACAACAACGAACCCCAGTTTTTAAAAATTAAAAAGAAAAAAACCCTTACTTGTTTTTTAACTTATTTTTCAAAGTTAAATAAACCTGGAAATGTTTCCTCAGAATTAGTGTTACTAGAAGACATTCTATTCAATAACAAAGTACTAATATCTATTTTACAAAAGTCTCATATTTTCATAATATAACAACGTTCAAGGTAAGTCCCTTAGATACCCAGTCAATGTCACAACACTTGCATATCCAAATTCTCTGAGATTAGAGATTGTCATGCTTTTTCCAATTGCCCAATTGATTCATAAAGGCTAAAGTGACAAAAAGAACAAAGCAAGAGAAAAATTTTACCTAGGATATTGAGTACATTATCTTAACCTCTTGTACAGACAGGAAACCTATCCTCACAAGTTATTCATTTCAGTTAAATTTGATAGATTTCAGAAATTTGTTCTTCTACTATTTATTCTGGATTATGCCATTTGCTTTTCATCTAATTTTAAACATTTAAAAGTGACCATATATCTTGATTTGCTTGAGACAGTTCTGATGTATGGCTGTCAGCCCAACATAACTGATAGTGCCCCCATTCCATTTCAAAAGTGTCCATTCTATACACTTAATTACTACCCATTTTTATTAATAAAACAATTATAAATTCTGCAAGCTGAACTTGGACTCAATATACATGGCTTAAAAATAACTCAGATAAAAAGCAAAAGGTTTAATAAAAGCTGTCACAGAAAAACTAGATGAATTGTGATGTAGAACAGTTTTTCTGCTTTAAACTGTTCTATATAATGAGATAAATTAGAAATTTGCAATTACATTTTCTGAGCTCATTCCAATTGTATCACCCACCTTTTAATGTAAGTATAAATACATGTGTATTTTCCCAAGAGTTTTTATCATCTACTGTTTTCATTTGTATCCACCAAGTCCATAAATTGTTTAGCATCTCCTCCTCCTTTCTGTATAAAATAATCATTTAGGATTTAAAAAGTATTAAATTCCCACAAAAGAACGATTTCAATGCCATTACCGTTGCCATTTTGCTGCTACATATTAACAAAAAGCAAAGTTTAAAGCAATGTTTTTGCAACATAGAACAGTCTTGTTTCATACTCTTGTTTTATTTACTGAGCCGCAGGGAGAGACTAAACATAATTTCTTTAAAAGAAAACAATGCCATTACCGTTGCCATTTTGCTGCTACATATTAACAAAAAGCAAAGTTTAAAGCAATGTTTTTGCAACATAGAACAGTCTTGTTTTATACTCTTGTTTTATTTACTGAGCCGCAGGGAGAGACTAAACATAATTTCTTTAAAAGAAAAGAAAATTTTTGGATATGCCATTTAATCCCATTGCAGTTTCAGGAAGAAAAATTATTAGCTCATATGCAGTCATTCAATAACATCCCCTATTATATTAAAACTATTTAAATACTAAATATCTTGATTTCACAAGGATATCCTAATTAGAATCCATCCTAGTCTCTTGTCAGAAGTAAAGATGAAATTCATGGGCTCTTACAAGGTGGCAGCTATATAGAGGACAAATGTTTGATGCTCCTTAAAAATTTTTTATAACTCCTCAGCTATATATTATTTACATGTAGCATCATGTCTAAAGGTAAGATTGTGATCATTTTGCACTGGTGTTATAGATTAACATAAATAAAGGTAGGAAAACCAAAATGCTTTGAAAACTATATTTTCATTTTACGAAACAATAACCATATTTTTTCAAGAAAAAACATTAGGTAACTACTTTTAAAGTTCAAGTTCCATCATCTTAATATATGAACACACCTGGATACGAGATTGTAAAAAACCACACATACACACAAGCTCTAGGTAGAGCTATAATAAACAAATTCCTTTTATAAACAAAATTTTAACTGAAAAGCCACAGTAGACGGAAAAAAGAAGAAAGGATATTACTTGGTAAAATCCAGTGACATCTACAATAGTTTTACAGCACATTTAAGCATTCTAGGGTTTTATATCTTCACCTGCCTTCCATTTCTCAGTTCATCCTTATAAAACTTCCAATTACAAACATGTTTGACCCCAAACCCAGACCTGAATTTGAGTGCCAGGAAAAGCAAAATGATAGTCCAAATTTCTTAATATCACAGCCTTATTTCAATAATGGTTCTGTTTAAAACACAATGCCGAGCTAAATGGGGAAAAAAACCAAGCAGCAATATGTAATTATACTAATAGTTATTCATTATATGGGAAGTGTTTTTTTTAGGATATCTAGAATGCACTTGGCTCCGTGAGTCTTCTAAATAATTACGATGACAGACCAACACTACCAAACTAACAGTATTGTGTAAGGGGCACACATTTACAATACTGATAGTCTTAAAAGCAGTAAAGCAAAAGAAAATATATCAAACAGCACATGCACATCTTATAGAACTTCCACTGAACTATCAATGGCTTCTATGCAATGTGCATCTTTTCCATAACTGTATTAACTATCAAGAAAGGTAAGGTGAGATTAAAAGTAATGGTACTGAACTGAATTGTTTGAAGCCAGTGCCCCACATGTGGGGAAAAGTGCATTTAGTTCAGCAGCAATACAGCACAGTGTGAAGATATTGTGCTTAGACACAGCTATTCCAGAATTGAAAGATGTACAAGGCAAGTCAAGATATAAAACCATAGTACACTGTTAAATAACCTTGAAACGTACATATATTGCAGTTTTCAAAGACATTCATGTCATTGTACAAGGATAGGAAGAAATTCTTAAAGTTACCTACTGTAGTTTATGATATAATAAATACATATCTATATAGCATTGTATATACATATATAGAATGTGTGTGTCTATATGTAATTTATTTATTTGCCAAATTATTCTATTAGTTTTTATGGATCTGCAACTTTCAAAAATGAAAAAAACTCTTTTTTCACTACAAGTTTCTCTTCCCATGAACTTAAGATATTTATACTAGAAAAGGTTTCAATACCCTCCCCCTACCCAATCTCACTTCAGATATTTTGCTTCACAACTCAGAGAACACAAAGAAATTCTAGATTTTTGATGCATCTTTTCACTTTGCCAGTTGTTTCAACCAGCAAATATCTTTTAATATTTAAACCAGCTGATGCAAATTCTTTAGCAGAGGATATAAACTCCAGATCTGACTGATTAAAACAGAGCAAATCAACCCCCCCCCCAAAATAATAATAATCCAGTGATTCACTCTGACTGTAAACAATATATAAAATTTAAATCTCAAATCTCAAAATAAGTTAAAGAAAAATTCTATCTTCAGGGCCTATAATATAAAGATCAGACAATTGATAAGGGGAAAATGTGTATGAAAAGTTGCAATAAAATTGTTTGCCCATTATTTTTCCTAAGAGAAAGTATTTCTAACTATGCTACCTCAGTCCCTTAAATTTAATAACTTCATAATTTGTTGGCAAATGTTTTAAGCAAACTGGCATATCAGATTATACAACAGAAAAACATTCATAAAATTCAGCAAAGAAAACTTATATAAGCCTTTTGTACAGAATTAAAAAAAATCTAAATGGCTATGATTCCTCTATTAGCAGAAACACATAATGCAATCTTATAAATCTGCCATATATATCAATATCTACATAAATAGATACAGATATAGCTATGAAACATTAATGGCAGTCTATTTCTGAACAGTGTGTGGGACCAGCAGATTTGTATCAGACCATGGCACGATATGGACCCTGCATCTTTAGGAACTGAATGATGAAAGAAGGTCCCCCAGCAACAATCTGAGGTGGAAGGTGACTAAGTGGACAGTTCTCAATACTCATGATTGAAAGTTTGCTGCAGAGAGCCAGCTCAAATGGAAGGCTATGCAGGTTGGGGTTGTCATTCAAATACAGTTCTTCTAGGTTCTCCAGTGTACCTGTTTAAAAAAATCATATCAGCTGTTATTTTTTTTTAAAATTAATTACTACTAAAAACAACTGAACATGATGCTATTCTGCACATTACGTATACTGAATTCACATTTCCTTTTATTCTCTTCTCTTAGCTTTAAAAATCTCACAACTGTAGATCTCAAAACTTTACTGCATATTCGACTGCGGAGATTTTAAAAGAACCCTGATGTCCAGGTCACACTTCTGACCAACTAAATCAGAACTTTTTCCTTTATGGTTGGTTTTCAAGCTTGGGGAGTTTTTTGAAAATAAACATGCTCCATTTCCAGAGATTCTGTTTGGGATTGCTTAGCTTTCATATATATATTTTTTAAGCTCCAGAAGTGTATTTATTATACTTCAGTGTCTATAATTACTTTTCTGCTTTAGACAATGTGACAATTTCTCATATTAACTAATTTCTCATGTGGAAAGTTTTTATTACCTGGTATAAATCACTAAAAGAGTTATCACACATTTGGCAGTAAGCCAAAAATCAATTTATGTAGTCTTTTAAAAAAATTTTTATACTGTCTAAAGAATACTCATACTTTCTAGGCAAATGCCTCAAGCAGTTACATGATGCTGGCTTTATAAATATACCAGAAATGTAAGTGTAAAGTTGCCTCATGTGTTTCCAATTTTTAAACTTCAAAATTTGGAGTATTTGATAGTGGTACTTATTAGAAGACTAATAAAAATAACAGCTAGCAGGTAATGGATCTGTTTACATGTAATATTTATTTAATCTTCACAACAACCCCATGAGAAGTTACTTATCCTTATTTCACAGGTAAGAAATTTGAGGCTTAGGGAGTTTATGTACCCTATCCAAAGTCACAGAGCCAATAAGTGGCAAGGCCAGATTTTGAATTGTCTTATCTCCAAAACCTTAACTACTACTAATCTATAGTGCCTCTGGGACAGCACACTATAGGTGGGAGAACACAGTACACAGGATTAGTCATTTAAGAACTACTGTCTATTTACTATGTGACCTCAATCAATTAATTCTCTTTACAACTTGTGCTGCCTAAAATTCAAGGTGGTCATGTTAATTATATGAAATAATGGATATGAAAATACTTGGAAAATGCTAAAATACTGCCAAATAATATTATCTAAAAACCTTAAAACATAAAGAAATGTTCTTTTGGCATATTACTAATTTAATTCAAGCCTGTGTAATTTTTAAATTTGATAGAAATATAAAATATTTCTTCTAAACTGAGGTTACATACAAAACCTATTAGAAATATAAGTATTCTAAAACATTCTCAAATGTAGTATTAATCCTAACACTCCCTGAGGAAACCTAACCAAAACCAATCAACCAACAGTGCTCTATAAAAAAATTCTTAAGTCTGATGTAACTTCAGTTTACAAAAACAGATTTGTCATATTTATCTAAAATACTGCTTGAAAGCACAACAGCAAGTTACTAGTACAGAGTCAAGCATTCACAGGGTTCATACCGATTTCCTCAGGAAGATGAGTAAGTAGGTTCTCTCCAAGGCCTAGATGTGTGAGATTGGTAAGGTGACCAATGCCTCTGGGAAGAGTGGTCAACTGGTTGTTTGTCAAGACTAATTTCTAAAAGATTAGCAAGATAAAAGACAGTTACATATGTATTTCCTACAACTGATATAGACTTTAACACATCTACAAAACAATAAAATAACATAGAAATTAGAATGGATGAGAATCACTTAAGTTATAGATTTTTCTTTCCAAAAATATCATTTGTTAGGAAAACAAAAATGGATAGGTTACGTAAAATAAACTAATCCCTAATGTTATAATAGGAATATCTATCTGGTTCAAGAATTAGGTCAAAATCTTAAGGAAAATGTGCAATTTGGAATGGACTCCAAAAAGTTTAACCATATAACTATAAAACATCACGATACCAGCCACCAAAACAAAACAAAACACAATAATGTTTTACCTGTAAATCCTTAAGATAAGCAATTTCATTTGGCAAGGATTCCAATTTGTTCTCCTCTAGATCCAACTCTCTTAACTTCCTAAGATTTCCAAGACCATGAGGAAGTTTCTTTAGAAGATTGTTTGATAATATTAGAACCTAAAGAGAAATTATTGACAAGAGTATTACAAATCATGAAATGGAATTACACACGTATTACTATTGTGTGGCTTAAAATTTATTAAACAATGCTAATTTTCCAAATAGTGAATATAAGCGTAATGTTCAAATTACCTAACATAAAATATTTCACTTACTATTCTAAAAAAAATCACCATAGTTACTGAAAATATTTTTATGTGATTATGCAAAACTAATAAAAGCAAAAGAAATACACTTTAACTAAATTACAAAAAAGTAAAAAGATTACTATTTGCACTAAGATTCATACAGTTAATGGTATTTGATACTGAATAGTTACAAATGTCTGTCTAATGGGAAATGGATTATTTATTCACAACTCCTTACAAACCATCACTTAAAGAACGTTAACAACTGACTTCTAAACTGCCTATATCAATCCACTATAGTTATTATTTCTGTGTATTTATTACAAGGCATCCTGCAAGATACTGAAGGAAAAAAAAAAAAGGCTGAAGAAGATGTTCTTTGTTCTCAAAGAAGTTATAAACTAGCAGGAGGGTAAGAAGACAATAATGGGTATGAGGACAATGGAATGAGCACTAAGTTAGAAAGATTATATAAGGTTCTTGCTAATTTTTTATGCTCACTTATTTCCTCCAAAGTTATACTACCCATAATAAAATAAATATACACAATAACACCAAGAAAATAATAACAACAGCTACCATTTGAGTTTACTATTTACAGAGTGCTATACTAAATGCATTATGTGCATTACTGCATTTAATCCTAGTTACAACCCTGTGATATGAATACTATTATCCCAATTCCACATCTGAAACTGAAGCTTGGGCAGGTTAAATTTATAAACATAAACAGATAAAACTGGAGTGGCACTCAGATCTGTTTGACTTTAAAGTCCATATTTTTTTTTAACTATTACATGATACTATTTCATCTTGTTAAATAAAGTAATAAAATAATAAGATTTTTTTAAAAACGCTGATATGGAGGAAAAATTTTAAATCAGTATATTTACTATTAGTAAGCTTTTTCACCAAAAAGATGAAAACTCTAGGTACTCAGAGGCATGAGAAATCATCCTTGACTAAGGAGGTGACAATAAGATGGATCGTTAATTTTACAGAAAAGAATTTTAAAAGAAAAAATTAAGGGGATGAGAAGAAAGCATTATAGGTATTGAGAACAACAGGACTAAACATACAGAGCTACAAATATACACACATTTTCAACAAAGAAAATAATCTGTTTAAAACAGCAGGTTGGGTAATTAAGATGGAAAAGTAGGCCAGAGTCATATAATAAAGGGTTCTGAATGCCAGTCTGAGGAATCCATAATTATTTTTGTAGAGTGTGGTATAGTTCTTAACAGAATTAAGAGAAGAAAAGCATGTTCTAAAAAATGCTAAGTTTTAGAGACCTTTCCTTTCAAAGATACTTTATAGCATTCAAACCTACCAACTTTTACTGGGCAAGAATAATTCAGAAAGATCAAGCCTAGACTAAGTCAATACCTCCTCCTTCCAATAGGGCTATATGTTTAAGAGAGCTCTAAACATTTCTAATTATGATCTTCAAGCGAACAGAAACTGCTTATTCTAATTTGAAACTTTATACATGAGATAATTGTGAAAGGATCTGAGGAGGTCTAAATGCTTACTTATACTCACCTCGAGAGAAACGAGACCAGACACATCCTCAGGGATCTTTGTGAGCTGATTAGTGGCTAAATTCAATTCTACCATACTGGTCCAAGTTCCAAAATCCAAGGGAAGTGATGTTAACTGATTGTCCTGGCAAAGAGAAAAAGAAGCACCCTAGGTAGAACCACAAAAACAAATCTCCACATATGCCTCCCTTTGAAAGAGAATTCTTAACTAAACAAAACCTTTCCTCCCTTTTTGATATCCAAAATATAAAAAGAAAAACAGCAACAAAAACTTTAAGCCTCCCAAGTTTTTCTTACGGTAATTAGGCTCTTATTTTGAGGTTGAACTGGAACCGTGTTTCCTATGTGATCATTTGTAATAGAAACAGAAAAATATACTACACAGAGAAACACTTGAGATTTCAAAGATCCTAGTGATAAACATGATGTTTTCCTCATTTTACAATAATGCACAGATAAAGATATGAGCACAATGGAAGAAGACACATCTAATCATAGCCCACAGGAAACCCAGATGAGCTCTCAGGAATTCCACAGGTGCTGAGCAGTAAAGTAGAAGAAGAAAACATGGTCTTAATAAGACAGCAAATTAAATCATTAAAACACTAATTAAGTATCTATAATTTCATTTTAAAGATGGTAAAATATATTTATCATAAAATAATAAAAACAGATGATGAAAGGTTAAGTATGAAACTAATTTTTAAAAAAATTACACATGGGGGCCGGCCCGGTGGCGCAATAGATAGTGCGCCGCTTGGGAAGCGCGGCGGTGCTCCCGCCCGAGGGTTTGGATCCCACATACAGACTGGTTCCCGCTCACTGGCTGAGCGAGGCGCGGGAGCAACACCGAGGGTTGCGATCCCGTTGCCGGTCCCCGGTCCGGTACGGGGGCAACACTGAGGGTTGCGATCCGTTGCCGGACACGGAAAAAGACAAAAAAAATTTTAAAAAATTAAAAAAATAAAAATAAAAAATTACACATGGCTATACACAGAAAAAAAGAGAGAAATATTTGCCAATGATTCACTTTTTCCTGCTTCCAAATACTCATTTAGAAGATACACTTTCATCAATAACAACTCTTACCACACTGTTGTGTGGTAGGAGTACAGGTATTGGGAGAGGATGACCAGCACCCCTGTCCCTGCTGGGTGTCAATGATACATGCCAATATATTAACAATGATGGTTAATATCTTGGTGGTGGGATTATTTTATATCCTTTTCGTTCCTCTATATTTAAATTTTTTCTGCAACAGACATGAATTACTTGTCTTATTTTACACAAATCATCCATAAGAGAAATCCTAAGTAGCAAATATCCACTTGAAAATCAAGTTTTTCTTTTACAGTATTTAAGATTATCTATTTATTGTAACATCTAAACTTATTACTGATCTGTGCCCAAACTACTGATAGTTATAGGTTGATACAATATTTTCATTTTTAAAAATTTACTACTGGTGCTTATATGAGGAGAAAAATGTCAAGCTTCATTTTGATTTCTTCAAGAAAAAGTTCTGTTAAACATTTATCATGTTTGAAGAAATATTAAGGCAAAGTTCTATGCAAAGTTTTATTTTTATTTTATTGAAAACAGCAAGCCTTTCCAAGCTAACATATTACAATAACATCATATCCATAAAAATGTATAGCCAAATGCAAAAACTAAAGAACACTTGGACCACTGTCTTCTAAGCCTATTATTACAAAATAAACATTCAGAACTAATACCATTACCACTGCTAAATCTCATACAACCAGAATAAAAGATATCTTGAATTTCCATTAGTTGACTTACTATACACTTCCAAAGAATCATCATAAAAGATACATACCATATTTATAAACAAGTGTAGATAGAATCAAGAAATTGTAGTTTAAAAAATCAATTTGAGATGGTTCATCAAAGACAAAAAGATGTAATATGATACAACAGAAAGAACACTAAACTTAGAATCAGGAAAACTAGGTTCCCGGATTCCCACCTCAGCCACGAATCGGCTATGTGGCCAATTCAGTTATCATTTCTGGGCCTAAAGTTTATTCACTACACATTAAAACACTGACTAGATGATTTTCCAGTTCTTTTCTCCTTTCACAATAAACTTCATTACAAATGTGAAACTCACTCACTGTAGAGTATACAGATAAGCAAAAAGAAACTGAAGAATACCCATAAATAATTGTGATATCCAAAGATAAACGTTATATTTTGGTAAACACTGGCTATATGCATGCATATAAATATATAGATATTTAATATGTAAGTTAAGCATATTAAAAACAACTTTTAAAAACTGTGTGGAAAGAAATTTTTACATGTTTTACCTTTCTTCTACTTAATAAACTGATAATATTTCAACTGGTATTTAATATTCTTTAAGACTAGATTATTATTTTTAATGGCTCCATAATATTCCACTGAAGATATATTACTTTTCATATATTAAATCCCTATCAGTATTAATAAGTTGGTACCTCTGAAATAGATAGCTCTGTAATACATATCCCCATAACTATACTGTTATGGACATTCATGATTATTTCCTTAGAACAAATTCCTAAGTTCTAAGACATCTGTTATCTGATACAGTTGCCCTAATGTATCCTTATTATCAGTTTAGATCCCATTAGCAAAGTGCAAGTACCCATTCTCCACACCAATAGAGAAAACATAAATATTAGCAGAAGTACTATAATAGTAGCTTCCCCACCCACACCCCAATGCAAACAGATGCTTACCTTCATATTTAGCTTACTTAATACTTTTGCTCTGGAGAAAATTCCAAATGGAATTTTATTGATTCGATTGTGTTCCATGTTGAGGGAATAAATGGTGGAAAACTGAGATGGACCACCCACTGGATATAACTGGAAGCAATTTCTAGCTAAGGTCAAACTATTCAGTTTCACAAGACTTGACAAAAGACTCTGTAAAAAATGGAATAAGCATAAGAATTAGAATTGTAACTATTTTGTATAGAACAGCAGTCCCAAACACAAATGCCTCAAAGGGCCTTGCAGGTAACAAATGACAGAGACTGGTTAGGCTTGTTCTGTGGCACCCCATCTACGTGGACAGTCACTATTATCAGCTCTAGAAAATTGTTGCTTTGAAGAAATGTTGAGCCAGATTTCAAGATTTTATAAGAAACAGGAAATTCTGATTTTTACTATTTGGCTTCAATTTATTTAAAACACTCTATGGAGTAAAGAAAATATGTCTGTGAGAAATGTCTATGGGGGGGAAGGGGTCAGTTTGAGACCTGTACAGAGCAGGAACTTTAGTTTCAGACAGTCCTGGGTCTGAGTCCTGGCTCTGCCACTGGCTATGTGGCCAGTCCTATCTATGTCTTGGTTACGTACCTATCTCTAAATTATTATTAAGATTAACACAATGCCTGATACAGAATAAGCTGTAGTTTAGTAATTTAATGGTTCCTTTTAGAAATAATAAATTCAGAAGATGATTATACTTCCTGATATTGTACGAATAGAATATGTTACTTTTCTATAGGGTAAAATTTCTGAAGGAATATATTTATCCATTAAACAAGTATATACTTAGCATATAACCCCATCTCCCCTACTTTAGCTTCCCACCATGTAACCAAAGTGCTAATGTGTAGGTATTATAAAAGAATCTGCTATTAATAGGACTAAGCCATATTTAGAAAAAAACAAAGCACACAAATAGAAAACAATTAGAAAATAATACGTAACTGCATGTAATCAATAATAAACTACGTAGAATAGGCTCTTGCTATTCAAAGTCTGGGCTGAGGAAAAGCAGCCATAAGCACCTCTGGGAGATTGTTAGAGATGTAAACTCTTGGGCCCCACTCCTACAGAATCATAATATGCAATATTAACAAGATTCCTAGGTGATGTGTATGCTCATTAACATTTGAGAAACATGCATATAAGCTATAAAATAGTTTTGAGTCCTGGCTCTTTTAATAGCTTTTGACTTCAGGCAAGTCATTTTTCTGAACCTTGGTTTATTCATTTTTAAAATGATGCCTTATTTTATAGGTTGAAGTGAAGACTAAAAGAAAAAAAATACATAAGTAGCTTTATAATACCTAGCAGATAAGTGCTTAAATTTTAAATCCCTTCCCTATTTAAATTCAAAGAAAAGAAGAAATACTGGAATAGCTAGAAAAGCAGGAAGGCAGTTGAGAATGAGCTAGATCTTGAAGGATAAAAATTTTTAAATATTCAAAAGTAGAAGAAAACATTCTAGATTGAAGTAAAAGCGCAAGCCAACGCCCCCCCCAAAAAAAAAACAAAAACATGTACAAGTGTGAGGTGTGTGTGGGTTTTATTTAAATAATGTTCAAACTTCAGCAGTCCACCATGAGCAAACTGAAGACTTAGTACCTGTGGTGTCAGTATAACTGGCAAGGCCAGCTGAAGGAATGAAGTAGCTGCATAATTGAAAGTATAATGAAACAATGGACTGAAACTTGTTCTTTATACTGAACAGAAGCTATCCTTATCATTCTCCTATTCTTGTACACAAACAAAAAGCAAGCATAGGCCAAGAGTGGTGGTGAGAAAACTGAGTCGCAGGCAATTCAGGAAAAATGTCTAAAGAAAATAAAAAAGTTTTACTGAGTGTCATGACAAAAACGTTATTCTTAGAACTGACTTTATTGACTTGACATTCTTCTATTTAAAAAGTTAATATCTGAGTACATTTAAGAAGGGGCAACAAGAAGGCAGCTCTTCAAAGTTTTATTTCTAAGGTCAAATTGTGAAACCTGGGGTTTGCAAATCATTGATTTTTTTGGCCCACCCCACCCCCGCCCCCGAGACACCGGCGCGCTGCCGCAGGGGTGGGCGCTGGGAGGGGCCTAATTGCAGCGACGGGTCTTTGCTCCCTCTGCCCAGGGATTAGGCGAGCACTCCATGCTAATCTTCTCTATATCGTTCCAACTTTAGCATATGTGCTGCGGAAGCCAGCACAGCTTGAGAGTCAGACACACCTGGGTTCCTATCTTAGCTCTTCTGCTTAACAGTTTTGTCAACTTTGGTGAGACAGTCAATGTATCTCTCACCGTACTTCCAAAAAATATTTAAAATAACAAATCTGGCCAAAAACATAACCTCTGAAGTTTTATCTCCCTATGTATCTGATAAGAATACCCTAATAACTAGTAGAATTATACTGAAAATTAAATGAGATAATACATGCAGAGCTCGAGCTTCATGGCTGGAGCATATGTGCTTAAAGTTCTGTTCCTTTTCCTTATGTATATATGTACACATTAAACTAGTCCATTTTCAGATAATCTTCAAACAAAAATATATACTCATTTTGCCAGCTTCGATTTCAGCAACATGAAGAAGCCCTTATTGAAAACCACTTTCATTTTTCTTGCCTATCCAGCTTGATTTTATTGTTTTCCTTACTGTGTTTACCACAAATACATTCGCATTAAGGATACGCTGCTTCCAAAGCACATTGACTACTTTTAATTAAGACTTAATGCTTTCCCACATTTGGACGAAGCCAATCAAGGGTTTCCCCCATCTTTAAATACACTCATGTACGTGTGTGTTTACACACACACACACACACACACACACACACACACACACCTTCTCCCACATCTAGTCTGAAGAGAGCGTACACACACACACACACACACACACACACACACACCTTCTCCCACATCTAGTCTGAAGAGAGCTGTCCTCTTTATAATCCTCTTACCAAAAATAAAAAGATAGGTTGTTACCAGGGGTTGGGGGGAAGGATGGATGAAAGCACAGAGCACAGAGGATTTTGGGGGCAGTGAAATTCTTTTGTATGATCCTATGATAGTGGATACATACCACTATAAATTTGCCCAAACCCATAGAATATACATCACCAGGACTGAATCCTAATGTAAACTATTGACTTTCGATGGTTATGATGTGTCAATGTAGGTTCATCTATCTTAACAAATGTACTACCCGGATGGAAGATATTGATAATGGGGGAGGAAGCTATGCATGTGTGGGGATAGGGAGTGTATGGAAAATCTCTATACTGTCCAATCAATTTTGCTGAAATTAAAACTGCTATTTAAAAAAAATAAATTGACTTATTTCAGTCACAAAATATTGTGTATAAAAGTATATAGCATATACCTGTATTCTAACAAGTACCTCAGAATCATTAGTTTCCCTTCACTGACAATAAGACTGGACACATATATTTAAATTTTTTCACTTTTGAACTTTGATATAGATCCAGTCTTTATATTTAGGCATGTTGACACTATAAAGGCAGTCAATCTTAACTTAAGCTCACAAATCATACCCAAAAAGAATCCCAACAAGGCCTAATTAAAGAGCTAATAGCCTGCCTTATGATGGATATGAGTCATTATCAGAAAAGGGGAGGACATTAAATAGTAGAACCTCACCCATTATCATTCTAAATTACCATTATCACAGAAGGACAAAAATCCAGACAGTCTAGTTCTCAGGGCTGTATCTGAAACCTGTGGATTTTACTCTTTATCCCACTTACAGTGCTACTAACAATAGTACTCTTTTGCCACAGGTCAAATACTGTCATTGCAGTCTTAAGAGAACTGGTCCAGCCTAGAAACTACAGTCCTGGGAAAATCAACTTTATACTCCAGACCAAGCTGTTTTCTGAAAATGCAAACAGTCAAATTAATAGAAGCCCGAAATTAACAGGTGCTACTTCATTTCTGTCTCCCTAAGAAACAAATCACTTGAAAAAACTTTTTTAAATAAATTGCTACAAACCTACAGCTTCATCTACCCAAACGGTTCTTCATAAATCAAAGCTTAAATCTAAAAAACATTCATCCAAAGAACTTTTATTCTTAATTCAAAAATATATATACACACAGAAAAAATAGCAATAGTCAAAACACAGTAGAGCCTTTTTTTCGTGACCAGTAAGGGGATCACAACCCTTGGTGCGGTGTCGCCCGCACCGCGCTCAGCCAGTGAGCGCACCAGCCAGTCCTATATAGAATCAAAACCCGTGGCGGGAGCGTCGCTGCGCTCCCAGCCCCAGCTCCGCACTCTCCCGAGTGCGCCATGGAGCCGGCCCAGAGCCACTTATATGAGACATTTTTAATTGTTAGAAAAAAGACTTTGCAAAGCTCAGACAATTCATAAGTCTGAATTCTACAATTCCATTCTTTTATTTGTTAGGATGCTATAAGATACTATGCTTGAAATAACTACAAGCATAAATATGTTAAGTGTGCTAAAATAGTAGATAGCAAAAGAAAGGCAAGAGTCAAAGAATAATAATGTTGAGACGGACAATTAAAAAAATGAAAGTATTATATCTTACCCAATCAATTCCTAAGCAAAATAAGTGAAAATATTTTTCTAACAGAACCGACAAAACCCAAATTAAAAATAATGTGTGAAAAAATAACAGATTTTGGTGATTGTCATATACTAAATAGGCTTTAATATTATTGTACAAACCGGCTAATAATTTGGGTTACAGGAGAGCTGCACCTAATATTAATCTTGTTAATAGTACATTCTATGTACATCATTCTTTTATCATCTTTCTACTGTACGTTTTTCTAACTGAATTGGGTGGGATAGCTGAGATTTAAAACCAGCCATACAGCTTTTCCTTAATAGCTTTTACTGCCAGTTCCCAAAATGATATGAGAAAGATTTAAGTGGTGCTAAAGAGGACTATAGCACACTGACTTCCTCCTTGTTTTTCCCTTCTTTTCTGCATTAAAAAAAAATTTAATATGTTCCTATACCCATTCTTTCTTCTTTGGGATTTTTATTTTAGTGATAGCTGTATAGCCATAGCATACTCATTATTTTAAAAATCTCAATCACCAAATTATTTACCCAACTGTAAAGATTTACTAGTTTTCCCTGCATTATATGCAGACTCGTTTCAAATACTGTTTTCTTTAATCCACTTCTTACCTCTGGTAGAGTAGAAATGTTATTGTTCTCTAAATTTAATTCTTCAAGTGCACTGCATTTTGCTAGTGATCTGGGTATTGCTGACAGTCTATTATATCTCAGACCAAGACGACTTAAACTGGACAGGTTTCCTGTAAATACAAAACAAAAGAATTTATTTTTTAGAAAATCTGATGAGCCTCTCACTGTGACAGGCTATCTAGTGGATATTTATGAATTGCTTTGAAGTAGTATTTCAGCAAGATCATTTACTTCTTTATTTTATTTTATTTTTTGCAGTTGACTAGTATTGAGATCCAAACCCTTCACCTTTTTGTTATTGGCACTGTGCTCTAACCAAGCGAGCTAACCGGCCAGCCCAAGATCCTTAACTTCTAGTACCAAGGAACCACACACTACACTTTATCAATTAAGATGAAATTAAAACCACTTTTGTGCCGACTTGTCTTAGAGAAATAATGAGACAGACAGCTATAAATTAATTTTTAAATGAACAATTAGAAGGTATTGGCATACTTTAACAAATTAAATCTTTAGATAAGGCCTAATTTAATTGCATCAACGTAGTGTATATTTTAAATTTATAATAATTATACCTTTTGTATCTATGTGATGATTATCCAACTTAGAATCAGTGGTTATATATAAAAATGTATATGCAATTTTGGAGAAGATATTTCCAAATTTCTAAAATGATATTATTTAAAATATAAGATGCATGATTATTTTATGAGATCAGAAAAGTTCAATATCTTCCATGAGTAAGGACAAACATTCTAAAATTTCTGTGAACAGATGGCTTGATGACAAAAAAAAAAAAATTGCTCAAACCAAAAACAATTACAAATAAAAGTGAGTTATAGTCTCTCTTATCTAAGCATAAGAGCTCAAGCACAAATTAGCCGCTACTGAATAAAAAGCAGAGAATTTTATTTTCTAGGCATTTTCTAGTTTTATTGCTAACAGTACATGGCCATCTACACGTAAGCTACCTGGAAGAATATGATGGGATCTGCTATAAAAGGTTCAAATCAAATATAATTTCCCAAACAATACACATTAGAAAATAAGTTCATTTTGATACCAAAAAGAAAAAAAGGTAACTGTAATGAGGATTTAGTTCAATGTATTCCTCTATCATGGCTGATTAATTTCTTTTCTTCAAATTGTTATGGAAAAATTCCAGGTCCCACTGGCTAGATCCAGGTTCTTGGTGTCTCAAACAAAGAATTGGACGAGACATGCCAGAAATGAAAAGTAAAAGCAGTTTTATTTAGCAAAGGAAGAAGGAAGAGTACACTCTGGAGAAAACAGAGCAGACTCCAGCGAGAGAGGAGAGTGCTCAAGAACCCCCCCCAGTTACATTCCTGGGATTTTAAGTCCTCTTAGTTGGATTCATGCCATTTGGTCATTGGTTGAGCCCTGAATGTAATCTCTGTCGTACTGGTTAAAGAGACTGGCACTCTAGCTGGTGGGGCTCCCTGTGTGGAATTGTCTTCGTCTCTTGTAGTCACTTCTGTGCACGTGCTTGCTTGCTCAAGGGAACCAGTTTGTCCCATTTGCAAATAACCAGTTTTTCCTTCTCTTGCTCTTGTCTCTATCTAGCGTACTGCCTCAAAATTACAACTGTTGTTATGATATTCTCGATGGGCAAAGTTAAAATGCCAAATGTAGTCCTTACTTTCAAATTAAAGTTATTTCCAGTGTTAGAAATTGCAGAAGTGGATGGCTGTGTCACACCTAACTTTTTGGGGACAAATATCTTGAGGCCTTTCAACTTTCAGCAACCTTCTGGTGTCTGCCCTTTTCTTTCTTTTTCCTTTAATTATTTTTTAAAAGCTGTTACATGATCAACTCTCATAGATGCAATATTACTTTAATATTTAGAGAAGATATGTATTAGTCTATAGCATAAGTTAAGCCTTGACTACAAGGGCAGTCACTATGCCTCATAACCTTTATCTAGTTATCATCCATCTGCATCTATCCCTCTTGCTGAAGAAATCAGTTACTGAAGTTTTGAGAATTGACTAGTTGCAGCTAATTTTTACCCTTCACATTTTCAAGGTAGGAATTAGTCATTGATAATAAAAAATACTCTTATGATTCTATACCGTAAGTCAAATCAACTATAATGCAGAAAAACTTAGCAATTATTTCAATTCCTTCAAATAGAATTATTCCATAGGTATGCTATGCACATTTACATCACTTTCTTACAACAGTGTTTGGAAACCGGGACAAGAATTTGCTGGTTCTGATTAAGATTCCAATAGGCATAATATTGAATACAGAAGCAACAATAAAAACTACCACTTGGCAAAGACATTTAAGTTTGTCTTTATAGTGCTTTCTAAATTAACTAAGGATGCTTCACTAGGGTCTTTCTGATGACAGCCTGGTGAGAAGTATCAATTTTGGAGGAAAAAACAAACAAAAAACAGAGAACTGGATGACTTTCCAAAGCCCCAGAGAGTTTAGAGATTAGAATATAAGACCAAGAATCAAATTTGCTATTGCTATCACGCATTATGACATTGAATAAGACACAGATAAAAGTTGGGCTGGCAGAAAATAATCCGCTATATGACTTCGTATGTATGTTAATTATAGTCATATATAGAATGGTAAAAAAAAAAAAAAGTGGGGACAACCTAAATGTTCAATAGAAAAATAATTATTTAAATTGGAAACACTACAGTAAAACAGAAAACCCAAAGTATTTTATATTATCTATGTGACCATGGGCAAGTTACTTAACCCCTCTGAGTCTGTTTCTTCATCTGTAAAGCAGGGATAATGCCACATACCTGACAGGGTTGTCCTAGATATAATGTGTGTAAGATACTCAGCACCATGACTGATGCATAACAGATGTTCAACACATAATTTTTATTCTATGGTATGTATTCAGTTGAGATAAAACATTGAATCTAAAAAACAACCTATGTCTATAGTACCAAATATAAACAAACATTCTTTGCTAGCTTTTAAGGCTCCCCATCATATAATCATACTCTACCAATCCAGATACTTATTGTGTAACTGCTATGTAAATGCAGTGCCAAACATAAGATGTACTCTGTCTATTCTCTGAAGAAGCTTACACTACAGTGACATAGTTTCACAAATAAGTATAATACTTAGTAGATTATGATAGTGCCCTAACAGAGATATGAACAAAATGCTTTCAATGTTTAGAGAAGGAAGAGACAACTTCCAGAAGGAAGAATCAAAGCAGGTTTTATTAAAAAGATGGAAGAGTAAATCTTAGAAAGGAGAAACATCTCTGCCTCTAAGAACAAGAGGGAATGAACAAAACAAAGAAGGAAAATAAAGACATGTAGGGGTGGTAAGATGTTTGCATTCTTTACATTGCAAAGCTCATCTTCTCCATAAAGCGAAGACATGAGCTAAATTGTGGAAAAACAAACATGGTGGTGGTTTGAAGTTTTAGATAGCTATCCTGTGATATTTGATAAAAAGATGAGAGGTGAGAAAGATACCTCAGAAGCAGTAATAAGAGCCATCTGAGGGTAATTAGCATGGACTTTAGCATAAACTATGTGAAGGGACTTGTCACAGTCACCAGCCAGCCAGTTAGGGGCAGAGCTAGAATGAAACTCATTTGGCTTCCTATCAAGAAATCTTTCTTCAAGATCTTCATTGACTTTGCTCCAGATAGCTGTTTTCTTGTTGACAAAGAGGCATGATTTGCTTATTTTCTTACCTCCATGCCGTTTGACTGTCTATGCTATTGTGCTCATGGAACACATTTCTCTTCCATACTGAGTCTAACACATTTGTTCATGAAGACTTCCCTCACCATTCTATCAAGATATAATTGATCTCCCCATAAATCAAACTTATAGCAGCATACTGTTTTCACCATAAGTTGGTATTCAATTACATTTGGTCTTAGGTTGTTAATTGTTTCATGGATTAGTCATCTCTCCCACCAGACTGAAAACCTTTAGGGGAGGAGACTTGCTATTCTCTCTCTCCATAGTATTTGCATTTCTCTCTTTCCATAGTATTTTAGTGCTAAGCACATGGCAGGCATTCATTCACACTTTCTTAACAATTATGGAAGCTAAAACATTCCACTATTTGTCCTCCTTTGCATTAGAAACAAGATACAGAAAATTATATGAGGCCCATAAAAATCTCTTTTCTTTGACCCAAATTTATTTTATAAAATAGCGTGTCTATAAAACACAGATTTTACTGGACATGATTTAAAAATATCAGATTTCCCTTGTCTATCTGAATATAAACTAATTAATTCTTCAACAAATATCTGCAAGAATTTTTTTCTGGGATATCCAACTTTTGAGCAGCCCATTGTTAGACACCAGCCAGAAAGAAAGTACTAATAACTCCAGCTTCTTGCATTTCTTCCACACCACACCAAATAATTTTTTAATTACAAATGCATCTATATGAATCCATCTTACTCTCTTCTGTAGATAACCATGGTTTGTAGTCTAATATGTACCGACTGAGACTATTAGCTAAGCATTTATTTACACATATACAAATACAGGGATTTTTTTTTATGTTTATGTGTTTTGTTTTTAGATAAGTGGGAACATTCCATATGCTTTTCCACCCATATAACAGGTCATAAAATATTTTCCTGTAAATAAATACAGATATACCTCACTCTATTTAACCATTGTAAAGTATTCCATGATATGTGTGTACCATTATTTATTTAATTGTTGTCCAATTGATGGCATTTATCTCTAATTTTTAAAAAGGAATTCTGGGGCCGGCCCGGTGGCGCACTGCTATAGTGCGCCGCTTGGGGAGTGCGGTGGTGCTCCCGCCGAGGGTTCGGATCCCACATACAGACGGGCCGCTCACTGGCTGAGCGAGGGGCGGGAGCAACACCGAGGGTTGCGATCCCGTGGCCGGTCCCGGTCCGGTACGGGCACGACACTGAGGGTTGCGATCCGTTGCCGGTCACGAAAAAAAAAAAAAAAAAAAAAAAAAAAGGAAAAAGGAATTCTGTAATGAACACCCTTCTGCATATCTGTGTGCATGTGAAAATACTTCTGATGTGTTGGAGGATATAGATATTTTAAATCTTGAAGGATAGTACCACAAGGCTATATCAATTTTCTTT